CAAAGTTGGTACTCGCTAACTTTAATATTAAGAGTGTTTAGACCTCTGCAGTATATTAGGCCCGTATGTCAATTAATGACTAAAGAATTCCTATTTTGCTTTGTGCAGGTAATAAGCCAACCAATATTCAAGCTTGTGGAAGATTGGTGCAGCAACAGGTGGCCAGAAAGCAGCTTACTGAGGGAAGGGAATCCCATTAAAATTCGATTGATGGGTGTGTATAGGTTCAACATGTTGAGGTTGTTGTGGAGATCAGTATATGTGACATTTGTCACTCTGGTGTCAATGCTATTCCCATTCTTCAACAATGTTCTTGGTCTGATTGGGGTTTCATTCTGGCCATTGACTGTGTATTTCCCAGTAGAAATGCACATATCACGCTTGAAAATTCAAAAATTTAGCTTCAAGTGGATAGGGCTGCAAGCTCTGAGTGTGTTTTGCTTGATCATATCACTTCTTGTTGCTGCGGGATCTATTGAAGGAATCATCAGGGATCTTGGAACCTTTAAGATTTTGAATTCTGTTTCTTAACCTTTTTGCAAGCATTTCACTGAAATTTGATATTAAAAATATCAATTAGGAACCTCAACTTCTATGCTCTTCTTTGAGTACATTTTCCATTGTGATGTGCTTGAATAAATGGTACTTTCAATAACTTTTGTTACGTTTGCCGACCAAATGGTTTAAGAATGTTTATTTGCACATACGAGAAGTAAAATGCTCTCCATATAATGAGACCCCCTTCCCCCAAATTCCCATGCCAAAAAAAAAAAAAAAAAAAAAAATCAGTCGATATAATCCCATTTTCTTTGCTCTGCTTTCTATCCAGCAGGACGTCCACTCTTCCTTATTGACCGAAGAGTATCAAAGGGCTTCGTTCAAAAGATTGCTAAGAGCAGGAAGAAGAACAATAAAAAAATTCACTTTTGTGCTATATTATTATAATTAATATTATTTTATATCAATTCATATTTTTATATATTTAAATTTTTAAATAGATCATTTAAATAATTTTTTTAAAAAAATCACATTAATATTATTTTATTTAATATACATTTTATATATTCAAAACAAAATATTTGAATTGAAAAAAATTAAAAAAAAAAAAAAAAACATATGAGCCGTTGGATTTTAAATCCAACGGCATTGAAAGCTGATACAGGCATAGGTAATCAATGCCTCACCGCCTCACATGTGCCGGGGCCAATTTGTTTGCCCCGAAAAGAGCAAAAGTAACACCATTTTTGCCTCCTAAAAGCTAAGGGAACTAGTCTCTGTCCAGCTTTCTTTTGAGAAATCTCCAATGGCCAATCAAAGATGTTGCTATGTTCTCTTTTTGAAGAGAACATGGGAATGAGCTCCCATTGAACATACCATAATGCTAATGGAAAAAGTTACCAATGAACCCATTTACTTATGACTTTGTCGGCATATTAGCCCTCACAAAAAGATTGTGGCAAATTAAACCCTTAACTCCTCTATTGTGCTAGATTGACCTTTATCAAAGGAATGAGGTCATTTGTCGTCGATCACTGATTGTGATCCTTTGGAGCCTGACCCAAGCCGATGCTATGCGAACACCACTTTTGAGCCCAAAACATAAACCCTAATTGGGGAATTGTCCATTTGAGAGCCCCTAAAAAGGGTTCTGCCATGTAAAAACTGGTTGCAGGGTCTAG